GACAGACGCACAGGACCTTATGCCGAAGCAAATTGCAGCTCACTATAACCCAAAATATGAGAAATGTCACAGGCAGATTAGTGGGCTTTTTATTCAAAGTGTTAGAAGTTTGCATAATGTGGTATTTCTGTGTTGTTTCATAGTTGCATGTTTATGTGAATTACCTTGATTACAGCATTACATGATTCTTTCTAAGCGCAAAGGTACAAGTATCTAAAAGCTGAAAGGATGCTCATTTTGATTAATGACAAATTAAGGGAAAAACACCAAAAAAAATACACAGCTTCTGAAATATAAGCTGCTTTTTTTTTCCCCACATGAAAAATAACAGGATACTGGTACTTTCGTATTCAAACTAAATGGGATTCAGACAATACCTGTGAACCTTATTGAGAATTAAATTTTAAGATCTTGGCGGTATAGATGTGAATATCAGGTACAAAAATAAAAGAGATAAGATCATCTCAGGAATGATGAATGTCCTAATTTTACTAGTCTGCAATATTCCTTGCAGAGAGGCTTTACTCAGGTGCTTATTTTGCCTTTTTATTTCTCTTATTATTTTAATTTCTCTGTATGTACTAATTCTCAATCATTTTAAATATGACTTTGAAAAAGTTCTTAGAAAGTGATGGACTTTCCCATATGCCGTGCTATTTAAATGCTCCAGAAGCGCATTTTCTCAGAGAACAAATTCTGTGAGAGGAAATCATTGCTACCTGTTCTGCACACAGGAACGGAAGGTGTAAATTGTACCACAGGTTTTTGGGACCCACTATGTAGGTCAATGAGATTCCAGTCTTGACAGGTGAAGAGTTCATATCTGCCGAGAGTTCTGTCACTGATAAACAGGACACGAAGGAGGACATGATTTGTTGGTGTTTCCTTACCTTCCTCTTGGCAGCAGAAATAAAGCAGTAAAGATCACTAAACCCCACTAGCTGTGCGTTTGCAAACAGCAATGGCTGCAGCACTGGCTTTCCTTAAACACCATGTGCACAAGTGGAAATGTCGGGGGGAAGGAAGGACCAAAGTGTGGAAGGCTACAAATATGTGACCTGAACGGTTAAAATCAAGGTGAAGAGGTGGCCTGCGAGCAGGGAAAGCCGCCCGTTCACCTGCAGGTAGTTTGGTTTGCAGCCCAGCAGCACGGCGGTTCCTCCGAGCTGAACAGCAGCTGCACTCCTCCATGCAGGGTGTTGGGTTGATAGGGCAAGGTGAACTTAAAGTCTACCACCTCTCCTTTATTCTTTCCAAACCACCCCCACTGAATGATTTTCTTTGGATCTGGCAAAATTATCTGCTTCTACAAGAGAGGGATGCCACCCCTACTCGTATCCCTAGCTCTGTCACCGAGTTTAAATCAGATGCAGTGCCTGGATCAGGTTCTCCATTTCAAAAGAATATCATCTATAAAACTGTTAATGTTCCGCTGTTGACTTAAATGACAAAAAATCAGCTCAGCCACAAGATGCTCTACAGTTTCCTGTAAGTCAATTTTTGCAGAGCATCTCAAAATTTCAGAAAACCACCATACAGTTTATCATATAGTGATTCAGTGGGTTTGTATTGCACTGCCAATACTTGATGCCAGCACAAGCTACTTAAGCCATTCAGTTCTATCACACACTTGAGAGTGATGTGCACTGTTGGTTTAGAATTACTTAGGATGCTAATTCATACACTGTTACTCTAAACACAGTGATACGCCATTGCCAGTGAGTAAGTAGAAACAATATTCTGCCCCCTCCATTTCAAATAAAATTTCCCATTTCTTCCATTTCCGTCACATTTTAAAATGCCTACGAGTTGAGCCATACCTCAGGGCATTCCCTCCACCACCTTTGACTGGACTATAGGCACTTTTACGCTGCCCAAATGTGTAATGACAAGTGGACTTAGCGGTAAAACCTAGTCTAATATCTGTCATTTTCCTTTTAATCACTTTGGATAAGTACATCAACAGCAGTGGTCACAGCTTTCCATTTGCCTTTTTTTACTGAACGCTTCTGCCATGAGTCTAGAGAACACCTTGAACTCTCTGTCCCTTTCAAGACTTTATGCTGCCACCAATGGTTAATTAGTGACAGCAAAACAGTATGGAAAATATAATGAGACACAGCAAACTGTCACGCTAGTGACATCAAAGTCCAAAACGCCATTGCTCTTCACTCTTACCGTAAGTACTTTATAACATTTGTATTTTCCGTAAGTCAGACTCTTCCACCTCTAAAGCAGCAGCATTGAGCTGCACGCTCTGTCCTGTTGACTTCAGAGGTCCCTTGAGAAGAACAAGATCATATAAAGTGACAGTTTGTATGGCCGAAATGAGCCAGGTCAGTTTTGGATGTACTCTGCAAAAATACAAAGTAGGCATATGCCAGTTGTCTGGTACTTAACCCAAGTGGACTAGACAGCAAGAAGCTTAGTTAAAAACTACCTATAAGCAAACCTTCAAAAACACACCAGGTATTTTTAAAGCAATGTTTAGAGTTTCAATCCCTAAATACCATCTAGAAGAATGAAGATGCCTTGCTCAAACATGCCGTGCTTTTACAAAGTTTGTGCATCTGAGGTAAAGTTTTCAGAACTCTTTCCATCCTGTACAAATGCTACGTATCACTTTCCAAAGTGACTCAAGCACACCTAAAAATTGTATCCACTGTACCTTAAGAGTAGGAAAAAAAGCCCTTGAAAGCACTCTCACAACTCTGATCGCTAGTAGGATGACTTGCTCTCCTGGCCCTCAAATACCAAGACCCAGAATAAATGGGTACACAGAGGTAGGACTGCATTATTTTTATTTTTCCATACTTTTGTGACACAAAATTCAAGTACTATTCACATGTAAATAACAATTGCATGTGTTAAAATTATAGATGAGCATAAGAAATTTATGCTGCCATGCTTGGCACCTATCTGGAAGTGCAAAAAAGCTTTGGTAACTGCAGCTTGCTTACTATACACTTCACCAGATTTGAACTGCCCTTTTCAAGTACTCCAAAAATGCAGCTATGACAGCACAGAGCTCAGCAGAGGTTATCTATCCAGGTATTCATCCCACTTCCCTGGCTGACTTTTTCAGCCTTGTTGAGCTCTTTATTCCTGTGCCCAGAAAATTCTCCTGGCTAATTTGAAGATGAGCCAGGAACATCTGTAATATTTGTAGCCAAAGTACTGGCTGCACTATTCCTATGCATATACCTCTTATTCTTAATGGGATAAAAAAAAATATGAAAAAATATTCATAGTTAGTTCAGTAAATTATAATCTTGCAAGTAGACAATACCTGCCAAAATGAATTCTGATTTTAGTTTTAGAAACTTAAGTGCATTTAAATGAAGAATGATTTTGTGTTTGTTATCAAGAGAGAACCTTTTATTCAAATGTGGATATCGAAATAAGTTATTTAAATTTAAGCCTATTTTTTTATTCAGCTTGTAGACTTCTTATATCAGGCAACAAAACATTTTTTTGGTCTTGTGAAAGCCCATTTCAGAGATTTGTCAGAAAGGCACTGGCACAGCTGCATCCTACAGATGTGCCACAAGCCAGCTCCTGAGTGCAGGCAGTGAAAGGGTGATGTGCCATTTGGCCAGTGACACAGAGACTTCTAGCAAAGAGCTTTGGGGAACAAGCACTAAGAAGCTTGCAAATGAGATGAGGTGGAGTCAAACTGTGCATTACCATCTGTTTTAGCACTGATCTACTTGCATTTGGTAAGAGACAAATTCTCTTCCTTTTGAACGGCATTTTTTATTGCAGGGTGTCTCCCTAAACTCATTGTAAGATATAAAAAATTTATGAAATTAAGTAACATACTCAATTCTGCCAATCTTATTCTAAAAGACAATTAGTAATAAAGTCTCTCTGATTTCAGCGGTACTGCTTCCCAAGTTAGACAATTCCCCAGCTAAAACCATCAGGTTCCAGCCTGTTGTAAGTAAAGAGCAGCATACCACAGGCTGCCATCATCTTTGAAATATTTAAGCTAGAAAAGACTTAAAGATGCAGATTTCACCTGAGTTTAGCAAATAGTCACATGATTCTGGTAGAGCTCCTGTTATCTTTTCCATGGGGCAACGGACAGAAAAATATTTTTTAAAAATAATTAGCTATCAGCTAGCAGTGTTGAGTTATTTTGATTTAATGTACAATTTTGAACAGATAGAGCTTATTCTCCTCTGCCTTTGAAAATATACCATAGCATGAGACACCTTCCACATCCAAAGGGTTTTTCTCTCTGTCATCTGTCAGGCAGAATTAGCGTGGGAGCAGTAAAGCCATGAAAAGGAACGTTCCTTTTCACGATATTCAGTTCCACAATTGTCTGATACTATTTCTTGTACATCCACCAAGACTTAAGATAAGTGGCTGAAGCATTTGCACCACTGGCTTTATGCAGGAGGAGTGTTGTGAAATTAAACACTTTGAGGAAAAGTGTTACTTTAAAAAAAAAAAAAAAGAAAAAAGAGGAAAAACAACATTGACCACATTCGCTGAGAGCACAAGTGTAGCAGAAAGAACCTACTGAACAACATTCTTAGTGTTCGGCAATAAAGCGACATAATAGACACACAGTGCTGAAAAACAGAACATCAATCTAATTGATTTCTTTGTAGCTTCAGAAATCCAACTGCTGAAAAGAACATTTTGTGTACAAAATGACTGTACGGGCATGGTTTCGCTGTGACTTCCTATTGTGCTGAGGTGCTGGTAATGGAAACTTTTACTGCATTGCGTTCTTCTGAGCAACTTCCCTAGCTGTGGTTTTCTGCTATTCCCCTGATAAAAGCACCAAAGTGGTGAGAGTTTAGCAAGTATGTAAAACTTCACATGAATTTGGTGCAAGAGTTCTCAAAAGCAAAACTGTATAAAGTTGGAGACACCCAAACTAGGTCATTTCTCATCTGTTGGCACAGCAGGTGTTATTCTGATGTTTAATTTCAATGTCTCCTTTGATTCAGTTCTGAAGAGCTTTGACGGAATTAGAGAGCGCAATGGGAAATACTGTGAAAACGTCGAGAGCCTCTGAAGAAACAAATGTGCCGAGCCAAACGGGTAAGCACTCATTTAATTTCTTTCAAGAGAAAAAGATGTTCAAAATATACGTTACATCCATCTGTGTGTCTTCCTTCATCCGCCTGACGTCGTAAAAGCAGGCAAGATCCTGACTGTGGGAGAAGCAGGGCATCCTCTAGACAGGGCTTATTTTTAGGTACGTTCTAGCTCATTTTGCAAGAAGTATTTTAATTAAAAAACCCAAATGTTGAAACTATTATTTGCTGGTGCTCCCTGAAAGACGTTCCTTCCAAAGCAGAAAGCACTGAAGCATTACTTCAGAAACCAGAAACACTGTATTTTGACATGCTTGCATGTGGTATTTTGTACAAATTTGTTCTTGAAATTTGGTTTTGCTTCATTTAAGGTTGAAAACTTTAATGATGTTATGCTTGCACTGAACCTGAAGTCCGCTGTCAGACAGTTGCATTAAAAGTAGCACGCGGCCAACGTGTCAACAGGTTTATCCGTAAAGGTTATACAGAAATACACATTTCACAGGCCAAGCTGCCAAAGGGGGATCTAACACATCTGCCCTATGCATCCACACGGGAAAAAAAGCAGGTTGCAAAGCCCCCCCCTCCCTCCCGCTGTAGGCTGATAACGCTGATGCGTCTGAGGGGGGAAAACAAGAGGGATTCAGCGACTGCTACTCCCAAACTGTGAGTGAGCGGGAGGAGAGTCGGTACAGCCTCAGCGCTCATGTCACAGCACGACAGACAGCTGGTGCGAGAGCTGCAATAAATCACTCCCCAAAGGTGAGGAAGAGAAAGCAGTTTTGCTTTTTTTGTTTTGGGTGTTTTTTTTAGAGGGGGAGGCATTAATTAAAATTTGGGGGTTTTCCATGAAAGACGGTCCGGTTGTGCTTCTCATTATTATAGGGATAGGGAATCAGCCTGGTTTCGTTAGTGCTGGAAGGAAACCAGCCCTGCTTTTAGCATGGCCAAGAAATAGCTGATACAGGCTATCAGTGTAGCCCTAACTGCTAATAAAGCAGAGGCCAAGATCCGTTAAGGCTACTCAGAGGCCCATAACATGAAATGACAGTTTAATTTTTTGTGCAGAAGAGGGCCAATGTTAATCTTCCCAGCACCTTCTGTCACAAATACCGTAACCGTAAAGCAGAGACACGCACACACTCTGAGCGGGACCTCGCTGACGAGCAGGGGAGTGAGGGGTCGCTGCCGTGGCTATGACCAAGTTTGTATTGTTCCCGCGCATGCTAAAAGTCAGGATTGAGCAGAGCTAAAGCCAACTGCATCCTTTTCAGTGAAGTAAATAGATCCTACCCCTAAAAGATAACTCAGCAAACACTGACAGCACAGCTATGGCAAAGGGAAATTACCCATTTTGGAATTCAGGGCTCCATCTACTTGCACTCTCCTACACATCTAGCACATCTAGAAAGGTGCTTTGTCAGATCCTGCCTGACCTTCAGCTGCTACCTGGGGAGGGACAAGTCTCCCGTAGCTGCAGTGGCATGTGCCAAGGCCGGAGGGATGTCTCAGACACTCACACAGGTGACATTCCACTGAACAGCTGTGTTTAAGCATCCAAAGGCAACTTTAAGAGCCTGCATAGCTCTTTGGATCAAACTCTTAGTCTGAATCAGACCAGCATTATTCATAATGGCTTAAACATTGGTAATTAAAGTCAGGAAGACAAGCATCAGTACTGTCATGCAAATCCAATGAAAATAGACTTTTGAAAAGGAACTTAGTACTAAAAGCATATATTAAGGTTAATCCAATGAGTTTGCATCTTTTTGCCTTCCTGAGCAGCTCAAACTCCAAATCACATCACCAAACATGGAAGATTTCCCACAGGCCAGGAACAGCCACCTTCAAGTGAGGTGGACCAAGATCCAATCCACAGACTTACAACAGTCCCAACAGTTATTAGTTTTACGCTGGCTCATTTCAGCGAATAAAAGGAAGGAATGAAACAGAACGGAAAGAAAGGAAAGAATAACCAAGAAATGGGAAGAAAACAGATAACTGGAGTCTGCAGACTGGATCTGCAGCGTGAATGCATTCATCAGACTCCAATAAACCCCTCATGCTGCCAGAGAGCTGCACTGAAAGCAAAACCTTGTGCTTTCCTCACCTCCAGTGCATTGGTCTTGGTCCTGAAAAAGGGAACAGTGCAAAAGCTGCATTTTTCCAGGAGGCATTTGAACTCCAAATATGACTGCACTCCATCGGAAAGCACACTGTGTGGGCATCCCTGACACAACCTAGGTACTGATAACAGAGCAGCTACAGCAGCAAGGGGTCAGCAGGGGATGTGAGCCCACCCCCGTCTCTTTTCTCCCTTGGGACTCTGAGTCAAGGGTTAATCCTTACTGAGCTGCACCTGCATAACTCTCAGTTCCCAAGCTGGCTGGTTTAGATCTCATTTGGGTACGTCTGAGCGACTCTGTAGCCACACCTTACGGCTGCTGCACAGCCTCCCAGACACACACGGGTGCCCTCCTTTACCCTCTCTGGTACGCGCCATGCCATAAATCACAGCATTTCTGCTGGGCAGTAAAGCTGGGGTGATGGAGGGAGCTGAGCTCTGAGCAGCTCATTCCCACTCCAGACAGGGACCACACAGGGGCACAGCACAGTGGTTTTTTGAGGGTGATGAACTGGATCTGGATGCTCTGCCTATGCTATCCCTACTCTCTAATAGTGCTTCGTAGTCCATTCACAATGAATTATTTGAAGCATGCAATATTCAGTCTCACACCTCTCGACATCCAGGGATGCAGACATCTAAAACCAGCATGCATTTCATATTCATTTTCTACTCCTACAAAAAAACCCAACCCAAATTAACACCTGATTCAGTGGAAATGATGGTGCTTCGACCTTTCCACTCTAACTTTTGAGTTGTTCCATTTCAGATGTAACCTACCCTCGCACTGCGGAGGAGAGGTTGTGTTAGAAAAGCTCAGTCAAATCGTCTTTTTTCTTTTACAACTTAAAAGCATGGGGAGCTCATCAGATCAAATCTATTAGATCACTGTGAAATTAAGGTGTGGAGAAAGAGGGTAATATTTTAGTCCCTGTTTCGAGGTTTTTGTGTTTGAAAGAAGCCAGTATGTTTTTTGTGAAAAGTTGTAGAGTGCGGTGGGGTACTTTACATGACCAAAAACCCCAGTGAGGTTTGATTTAAATACCAATTAAAATGAGGGTTTTTTTGTGGAGTGTGAGGGTTTAAAGGTTTTGGTAGTACAAAACCCCTTTACTTTCACTCTAATATAAGTACATGTAGTTTAAGAGGTAACGTTTGCATGGATGCGGCAGCCAACACTATGATTAATTCCTTCCTTTTCAGGACTACAAATTAACATGCAAAATTGAAACAAAAATGAATATAAAGGTGAAAGTGTAAGCAAACTAATGCAGATCTTGCTAGAGCAGAGAAAAGGTCACATACCCCGCAGCGCATAACGAAATGCAAACCACCAGTACACAAGGAAGGAGAGCAGAAAAGCACTTGTTTTCCACCCTTTCAATATGGAAACAAAACATTTACAAATAAACAGCATAAGTTTTAAAAAAGCATTGCTAAAGATATTGTCATTAAGCTAAAAAAATGACATTCTGTATAGAACTGCTTTCTAACAATCTGCAATGAGAAATTAGGTGACAGCACTTTATCCTCATGTTGCAGTTCTTACAATGTACCTTCTGACATTTATTTCTTGTGAAGATTTTGCTTCATTGCAAAAGACTCAACACCAATACGTAGGTCCCACTAGCCTCAGGTACTAAGCAGTTTCATAGACAGAGAAGGTGTCTTAATTTTTAGTGCAGAACAGGGAAGCAATCAAAGGCACGCTCAGCACAGAATTTCTTCAGTATAGTTGAACTAATTGTATAATAAGTTACAGTAGACTAATCATGGCAGTTGGCTGATTAATACAAAGGTACTGGACTAGTCCTGTTTAAATCAGTGACACTGACCAACTAAGAAAACCATGGCACACTGTCAAACTAATTAATGTCTATTCCAGACTCTTGCCAACTATGCATCCATAAGGATGCTCAGTAACCATATTGTGGGGCTACTTCAATAGGCAAAGGCTAGCACAACTAAAAATGCTTAGTCAGTTTGACTAGGAAGGTAAAATGATCTGCTACTTTGCATAACACAAGTCCCTATAACATAACAACAAACAGCTACTCATAATCAACTGAGAAAACACTGCTTTTTATTTCCTTTAAGCCACAGATGTGGAATATTTTTCTTAATATGTATATTTTCATTATCACTGCTGTAAGGATAACAAGTGTACAATCTCTCCTCTTGAAAATATTTCTTTTCTGCAGACTTGCATGTTTCCTTCAGCCTCTCATCATTATCGCTATGAGTTATTTGTAAGGCCCTGGGACACAGAGGCTGCAAACACAGAGCCAGTCTCAGCACTCATTCAGGATGCTGTTTCTAGATTTCCCTAAAAAAATGTCTTCCTTAAAGACAAATTGATAAGGAATCTATATTAAACAAGAAAATCTAACAAGATACAGAAGTGTGTCTCTCTGGCTAATTTCTTTCTCTCCTCCCCTGAATTCATTCCCTTTTTTTGCACATGTTGAGCTGCCCAGAGTGGGCAAGTGGAGATCAGACCACCCCTGCAGACGTACTGCTGGATGGTATTATGGAGGAACGGGGTGCTGATCCTGCTGGAGGCAGAGGGAAAGATTTGTCTTCTGTGTTCTGGCAGAGGGTACTGAAATGTGCAGAGGGAAGGGACGCATTTCCAGGAGAAACACAGGCAGCCTGTTACAAGATGATCCCTCTTGCCAAAGAGCCCAAAACACTCAGCATGACACATTTCTGAATCTCTCACCAGTCAGCATTTACTGGGCACCAGAGATTCCTGCTCGATGAGGAGCTCTCGAACATTTGATAGTCCTTGTCTTGTACAAAGTGCCCGTTGCATCCTTCAGAAGCCCAGGAGACTCAGCCTATGTCCTACACAGTGCTGTCAAGACCCAGAGTCATCCCTACTGATGTAAAAGGTCTTCTTATCTCTTTATGGACCTCAGTTCTGCAAATTGCAGTTGCACAATGATTTAATTTTAAACACCCATGTTGCCTCTCTTCTTAAATTGAAGATAAGGGCATCCTGTGCTACCTCTAGGAGAGTTTCCACACAAGGGGGTAGAACAAAGCCCTCTGGCTGTTCATCAAGGTAATTTTGAAAAGTGATGGGAAATGGGCAATAATGGCTGCACTCTTATTGCCCTTGACCTAATCTAATTTCATACCTTTGAAAAGTACCAGTGGTGTTAAATGATGGAACAATTCAACATGCATCTTTCTTTCCTTAAACATAATGCATCAGCTTGGCTCAAAAGTGTAGCTGGAGAAATTTAGAGACAGTGGCATTAATCAAACTGGGTTACTTCCTAATACTATAAATACTTACTAATTTTGCTAGTTTCAAACTGAATATGTCCTTTAAATATGGTAATTACTAGAAAAAGTGGCCTAAATTTAGTTGCTTACAATTAACCAGATGACTTTTTTTTCATTTCTAAGATCTTCACATTCTTCTTATAAAGTTATAGGGTCATCTTTAGCCCTTTATGTTTACCAGGTGACATTTCAGAGTGAGAGATTTTTTTTCCCATTTGAGCTACTATGTAAAATATAACATACATAATGAAAAATCTATTTCTGCTTCAGAACTCTACCTTATTTTTAAGTGACATTTTCTTTCTTTAACAGGTCAAGAGAGTGATTTCCTTGCTGTCCTCTATGACTATCCTTCAGCAGACATAAGCCAACCTATATTTCACGTAGGAGAAAAACTACGTGTGCTATCAGAGTAAGTTGATCCATTTTTATTTTTTTTTTTAAGTTAGCTTTTGTAACAAATGATGCAAAGCTCTGTTTTATGCACCTGGCCCAAACTGGGTGCAGTTCAGCAAAATGAACTGAGTTCAGAATTTGCAAGGAAGGATACTTATCCATGGTGTAAATTTCCCTATAGTTTAAGGATTTGGCATTTCAGATTGGATTCCTCTGATGTGGTTTCTGAAGCTGGATTCGGGTTCTATTCTAAAGTGGGACTCAAAACAGAATTCTGCTTTGAAAAACTATTGTGAGAAAATATCCTTCCTATGTCAGTGGAAAACAGAGTAAGAGCAAAAATAGTTTGGATCATATAGAAAATGAAAATTATTCTGAATTTCTCTGTCAAGTGTGTCTCTCATTTTCTCTCACATGCTTTTTGCCTAACTCCTTTATGATTGGGTCCTAGAATTTCACCCTAGATTTTAGGCAACTGCAACAAAAATAAAATGAAAAAATAGCTTTTTTTCTTCTTAACTTTTCAATTGGTTCTTCATTTTCTTAGTGGGGGGTGAGGTGAAGGTCAAAGATTTCCCAGCCACTTCCACTCCAAAGTTTTATGAGCCTCAGAGGAAGTAGACTTAAGAGCACTACTTCAGACTGACCTTAGGAATAATGTAAATATTGCCACACTCAGGAGTAAGCACACTTCTTGCACACATTTAAAAAATGGAAACCAGAAGCCTTGATATTATTTTATGCAAAGCTCATATCGGCTCACAGTGACATCCTAGAAGTTACTTGGCCCCACAGCCACTGTTTCCACTGCCTAAACAGAAATAAAAGATTTCATTTTTGCAGCTGGTGGAGCAGATGGATTTAAGGGGAGACCAGATACATTCATAGCAGAGAAATCCTCTAAGGATTTCTAAATTTGTAAAAAAAATCTCTACCTGAGCAAGTCAGAGTGTGAAATGGTTTAAGGACAGAAGTACTCAAGAGTAGTATCACAGACAACTAATGAATTCTCGGACTCTTCTCCAGGCCACCGTGACCTTCAATGGCCTTTGTCAGCAACAAGATATGGGGCTACGTGGACCTTTGGTCTGACCCAGAATGGCTGCAGTTATGTTCTCCTGACAAAGTGCTTTCTCCCTAAACCTAGAGGTCACAAGGCTCAGACAATATCACTAGATGAATTTTCTGCTGATGGAGGGCTTCCCTGAAGCAGGGGAATTCTTCTCTGGTAAATTCTAGCTGTTAAAACCCTGCTGCAGTTTGCGTAACATACACGACATGATACAACAATTGCTTTGGCTTGGAAATTCCAGCTTAAAGCCTCACTCCCAGCTTTCATCGGCTACGACATCACACCACCACATAACTACATATGCCTGTGTCAATGGGAATTATATGTGTGGCATATCATATGCATACATCTGCTGCATAGTGTGATCTACTGGATGAACAACTTCTAAAAGAGCTAGGCTTCAGTAGCAGCAGTTTTTGTCATGTTTGTCTATCATGCCATAATCAACAGCTTCTGCTAATAGTAAACAAGAGCCAAAGCAAGCCTCCATGGGAACTTTCCTCTTCCTATTTTGAATCAGCTTGTTCACAGAAGACAGCACTCCAATGCTCTACGCAAAGTATAGTGTCCTAATGAAGGACCTGTTCTTCCCTACTGGGGTATGTGCTGATGTTAACAGGAGCTGTTTGGCTGCAGACTCTTGCTGGACATAAGCTGTGGGTATAATAATTTTCTCAAATCATTCAAAGAAGCAAAATGCAGTGGAAGAGAAGAGCAGCATGGCAGGCACAACCAGAGCACAAGCGATGAGGAGTCACCACGGAGAAGCCAGCATGAGCAAGCAGCACATATTGCTTCCATAATGGCAGCTTTTCAGCCTTCTATCAAAACAGTTACGTGTAGTGGCAATCAGCCCCACAAATCCTGCCAGGAACATGATATATGGAACCCCATAGAAAATACAACTCCTCACAGATATTTGTGCCTGCTCTGGGTTGGCAGGATTAGATAAGCACCACTGGCACAGTGTCTCACTCTCCACACTTGTCAGGCACCTTTCATTATCAGATGACCAACTGCCTTTAGCTAGCAGAAGTCAAAACAGATGTCCTCCAATGATCCCCCAATCTATGTAATTTCTGTGGCTCCTGCCCCAGGAGAGATGCGCTGCTCTGGGACTTTTAATCACCATAGGGATTTTTCAGGGTTAGTAATATTACAGTTTGGCAGAAGGGAGATGCTGAGTCTCTCAGTTTTTTTGTTGTTACAATTCTTAGTTCTGTCTGGGAGAGTTATGGGGAAAAGAAAAACAACAAAATAACCTAAACTTCTTACAGATAATTTCACGTCAGCTGGAAACCCACAAATAAAACTTGTGGGACCCTGAAATTTCCAGCTCTGAGCAGTAGACACTTCCCTTTTTCCCTCAATGTATGCATTCTGGACAATGGTCCCAGCAGCTATAACTCAGGAAGTTTAATCTAAGTATTTTCAACTCAGCTGTTTTGACATACACTGAGACTCTGGTCTGCGGTCCAGGCATTATTTGGGACCATTTATATGAATGCCCACAAAAAAAAACCAACCAAACAAACAAAAACATTCAAACACAAGACACACTATGATTTGGATTCAAAGTCTTAAAGGAAAAGGTGGAGAGAACCCATCAATCATCAGCATCCTTGCACTAATTACTAAAGCTCCGCAGCATCCCTGTGAAAATTCTTGTTACCCTGCCCTTTCTAAGGGATTCAAAAGCCAAAGCCAGCATTCAGTATCACACCAAGAACTTAAGATATATCAGTGAAAAAAACGTATGCCTAGCCACCTAGTTTCAGCTATGAGGTCTTTTTTATTGGAGTCTGGTCAGCAACTCATTGAAGAAAAGGAAAAGAGCAAACCATGAACCAGGTTCTGTTAGACTGAAAACCTGTCCCCGGGCAGACAGGCTTCACGTCTCTGCCCTGATGTTACAGGAGTGACTACAGGGCTGTCCAGACACAACATACTCAGCCATTACCTGAACATCTTGGATACCAGTACAAGTCTAACTGTGGGCAGGCAGAGCACAGCATGGTTTAACCACCGAGTATTTACTCTTCTTCTTTTAACTACAGAAAAACATTTTATTACTTACGTAATTTAAATGGAACAAATGTAGCTTATTTCTGTGTCCAAATTTAATCCTGATGTAGGTTTATAAATGGAACTACCCTAAATGAAACAAACTTTGGTCCCTTTCTGAATACATAGATTTAGGAACACAGAGAGAAAATTACAAGCTAATCTGTATGTCTTAACTAATTTCCAAAATGACAAGGAGCACTGAAAGTTCATCTGAAAATATTCCTTCTCTTACTTTCACACAGTGAAGGAGGCTGGTGGAGAGTCCATTCCCTTACAACAGGTCGAGAAAACTATATTCCAGGAAAATATGTAGCAAAGGTTTACCATGGGTAAGTAAATGCATTTCCTATAGCCTTTCAATGCTATGTTTCTACATATGCTGCCCTGATGAGTTATTCGGGGTCATAATCAAAACAATGCCAATAGTGACCACACAGACAGAAATTTTATTTATTGACAGTCTAAAATAGCTCCTTTGGAATCTGAGAACATCAAATCCACATCTAAATTTAGATTATATGAAGAGGAAAATCCTAGTATTAAATGCCGGAAAGGGTCAAAAACCCCTCAATTGTGATATTTAAAATACTTCTGTTGCACAGACTGATCTCTAATTTTAAGACATTGATAAACAGACCTTGTTTAGAAAGAATTTTTAGTATTTACAAAGGGTAAAATTTAAGCTAGAGTTGCTCATGAAAAACAGACCAAAAAGAACAAATAGAAAGACTAATAAGTCATTCAGGAATGTAAACTCTCACACTGGAAGAACTAAGGAAGGTTCAGAGGTTTCTTGTTGCCCTAGACACCAGTCAGGAAAAAAACATTAAAGCACACACTTTTCTGGCAAAAGTTTTAATATCCATTTAATTTTAAGCATATGAACTGTGAACTTTACTGCAATTTATGCAAGTGCTCAGATGTTAATATGCTTTTTTATCCTCCTGCAACAGAAATGCTTTCCCAAAGACAGGGCACAGATATGATAATGGAAGCTACTGTCTGAAGCTTCCCCAAGACCGCTTTGCTGATAGCAGGCTGGATCAAACACACAAAACCAACTTCAAAATAAAGTGTCAGTAACTCCTACACCAGCTGAGCAAGCTCAGTTGCACGGTTAGACACTAGCTATGCCAAAATACAGCAGTGCACGAAGCTGTGGTGAAAATCAGTAGGACTAATTCCATTTTCCCTTACCCCCAAAGTCAATTAACTTAAATGGTGGGGCTGTTCCCTAGCATAGGCAGAATAATTGTGTTTTATTTTGGGTTTATTTATGATGTAATAAAATACAATTTGAGGTTAACAAAAGTGGTTTACATGAAAAAGAGGGAGTTAATTAACGCCACAGATATGTCATCAATATACCGCAGGGACATGTCCCCAACTGTTCAGATCAAGGCAGCTTGAAAAGTTTTGTTTTCCCTAATAAGTCCAAACCTTTTTCACTCTTCTCTTAGTCTCACAAAAGTTAATGGAACTCAAAGAGAGCAATATTTTCTCCATAAACTGTGGAAATATGCCTGGACATAGTTGAGAGAATAACTACAGAAAGCCACAGTGTTATTTTTGCAGTCACTTTTCCTGGCTAATGTGGCACTTTCACGGCCACATGCTGCTCTCTGTTTCACTGGTGTCCAGATTTCAGAATTTGTTTTTTCCTGCTTCACAGCTGGTTATTTGAAGGGCTGGGAAGAGAAAAAGCAGAGGAACTTCTACAGCTACCCAACACCAAGGTCGGCTCCTTCATGATCAGAGAGAGTGAAACTAGGAAAGGTGAGAAAATATGATCCCCCCTCCCCCTCCCCCCGCCCTTGATCTCAGGCATGAATAGTTTTACAGCTCTTTAATTCACTCCCTGTCCTGCTTCATATGGATCAGTCCGAAAACAGAAAATGTATGTGATGGGAAGTTAAAGGCACCCGGTGCAGCATGCCAGTCTTCACCAGTCACCTACGTTACGAGCGGTGCTGGAAACAGGGTTAGTGATGTCCATGGAAAGTTCCACAGGCATCAGCACGAACAAGACACAGTTGTTTAAACACTATTATTTACTTTGGTCACATGCAAAGCATATTAGGCAGTGGGACTTTTTAAATGGAGGAAAAGTCATAGCTTTGCCTTGGTCCACAAAAGATTGCCTGAAGAAGCGATAAAACACACGCCAAGCAGCGGGGGTGGCTGATAAGTGCATTTCCGACATAAACCAGTGGTTCTTTTATAATTTTTTTTAAAATTAAAAAGCTTCAATTTTATTTTCTTTCATAGTGATTCCGTTGCTACACAGGAATTATACTGTACACACTTTATACTTTTATTCTCTTCAATGGGAATATATCTCCCACTGTGCAACATGGTGTCTTCCTTTTTTCTGATGCACCAGAACACATCTTAGTATCACCATACTACAGTTAGAAGGCAATAATAAGTCTACTCTGACCTCTTGCATACCACAGGCCAATTAGTTTCATAATACCTATACTAAATTCAAAGAAATTTAGGATCAACATTCAGCCCTTACCAACTAAACGCTGCACAATAGTTTTGAACAAAGAAACAGGAAAATCCAAGTTGTCACCTCCTGCCAGGACTACACTATCAGGTAACAGCTACTGCATTACTGGGAGCAGACTAAATCAGCATACCAGCACACGAGTCTGGTCCCCCACTTCAGAGGAATGCAAACAGCTTCTGTAAAGACCTGTTTCCTTTACACAATTTCAAAAAATCTCATACCAACAAAAATAAAGGAAAAACACACCAGAAATTTAAATTCAATCAAAATCTCATGGCCTGATGATGGGCTCTTTATTTCCTTTGTTATACTTAAGTATGTATATACAAGTATACTACATAACTAGAAATTAGGATGGCCACTCAGTTTTTTTCAGATCTTTCTGGGACCACATCTTATAGATACTATGGTTGTGGTCACTGCTGTCCATCCAGAATTAGGGCCCTACTTTGGTCTAATTAGTTCTCCTCTTTCTCCAGGGTTATATTCCTTGTCAGTGCGGCACAGGCAAGTGAAACATTACAGGATCTTCCGCCTTCCAAATAATTGGTATTACATCTCTCCACGGCAAACCTTTCAGTGCCTTGAAGACCTTGTCAATCACTACTCAGGTAAAAAGAACTGTGGAATAAACATATTTTCCACTGGCAACTGTAAAACTATTTATTAAAGGTCCAGAACAAGTTTTGCTTATGTCCGAGACTTGCAACTCCTGCCACAAAACAAATAATGGAAAAACTTTTGGTTTATATCTTTAACCTTGTGTTTGATCCTAAATACAAATATGCTATCGTTAACAGTACAACTGAAATCAACCCAAGAACATAGCTAAATAAAGACAGATACATTCTTCCCACATTGGTATAAGGTATTGTATGGCCGTGTCAATAGAGCTGTCCTTAACACTACTTGGTCCAAACACTAGTGTCTAGCACTTCCTTAGACCACTTTCAGATGGTTTGGAGGTTAGCACAGGCTGGGGATGCCCATCCCCCAGCACAGCTAAAGTCAAAGTTTGGGTGTACAAAAATGTTAAGCTGTACAGATGCAAGTCACTGTTCTGGGTGCCAGTGCCAAAGTTCAATACCTGGCTCACTTGGTTTACCAGCATGGACATGTCTGCCATTTACTTACCATATAGACAGACAGATAGCATAAACACATTCAAGACCGCGTTCTGCAATATGTTTCTCTTGGGAACCACTACATCACACAACCATACATAGAGCAGAAAATTCTCAGAATCTTGTTAGTTTCTCCCTTATTACTTTAGAAGAGCATGGCTGGATTTTATCAGCAGAAGTTATCTCAAGGGGCTCAAGCTGTCAGCTCAAATCTAGATTCAGCTGTCATTTCACTAATATCAGTCCAGTCAATGACACCTGTTTCAATTATCGTTTTCCAGATTTATGGCAATTTAACTTGTGTCAGAGAGAGAACTTGACAAACAACACAATTCATTGGCTGCAGTTACCGTGCACTAAAATGAGAACATTTTAAAATAAGGAAGGAAGACTGCAATAAGTTGATTGCATAAAAGTTACAAGAGAACAACAGGTTCTGTGCTTTAACGAGTAATGGGTACTCCATAATTTTAATAGCATAAAAGCTACTATATCTGCATATTTCATAGACAAATGAAAAAGTGTGTTGGCCAAAGAGTACTCTGACAAACTGAGAAGAAAAGCCATATTCACATTCAAAACATGCAAAAGAAACTTTCAAGTCCAATGATATAAACAGAGGGAGAATTTGGACAGGGTATTTTTTAATTTTTCTTTTTACATTTTAGTTAGCTGACACCTTTCTGCATTTAGAAAGAAGCAAACAATCAAAGCCTAAAATTTGGGATGGGGGGAATCCAAAATATATAACAACTAACTTTTTTACTTGAGTTATAGGTGCAAGAGGAGATGTAGTGAAATTTAGCTCTCCTCCTTCCCCCACCATGAGATAGCACAGCATCTCACCCTAGAACAAAGCTGAGAGATGTAAAACATGAGTGTTCAGTCACAATGTTCTCTGCTTCCCCGGGTGTCTCTAGGGACATGGTTTAATGGTGGACTTGGCAGTGCTAGATTAATGGTCGGACTTGATGATCTTTAAAGGTCTTTTCCAACCTAAATGACTCTATGATTCTGTGGTCCTACTTGGGCAGAAGAACTTATGCAATGTTCCTAGTGGAGCGAGGAGAAGAGGATAGAGAGATGAAACATAGATAAAAGTAATAAGTGGACTTTGATTCATTCCATAGCCATGTTCCACAGCAGAACAGGTGCACATACAATCCAATCTGAGTGGTTGTATCTTGCACTTATTTAAACTCTCTTTGCATGGCTGAAATGATAGGAGACAAAAGCAGAAGTCACTGAGGACTCAGGAAACCTGGGTTTAAGTCCCTGCTCTGTCACAAACTTCCTTCTACAGTTTGGGCAAGTCACTTTACCTTTCAGTGTCTCAGTTTCTCACTTGTACTGTGGGAAACATACCCCATGATAAATTAAAAGGCAAAGGTGTGAGGAAAGGAAAAAGTTAAGCCTGTGTTACAGTGTCCCTGATGAGAACACACAATTTATTGACTGCTACTACTGTGTCCAAAACTGTTTATTTGAGCATGCACCAGGGAAGGAAAACAATGAAGATAACAGTGGGCAAAGATTAACTGTTTATTCATTTCCCTGTTCAGAAGTTGCTGATGGCCTCTGCTGCGTCCTTACAACACCTTGTCTTACCCAGTGCACTAACAACAACAGCATAACGAATCAAGTTCCTCCTGTGGTGATGCGGAATAAAAACTTCAGCTGGAGAAACATTCACAGGTACCACACAGAACACAGGCTGCCAGAAACAAGGGTTTTTTTCCAGACTTGTATATACTTGTACTTCCAACACAGAAGACACATCCATTTCCTTCTCCTGAGACTAGTTTTAAAGATTAGACAATCTTCAAAGCTGCTGACAGCAGGGTAACCCGTGAAAACTGGATGTCCAACTCTCTAACGGATAATCTTGGTCTAACTATGAAAAAAAAAGTATAGTTAACATTAAATCATATCTCCTGTCCAGCTAAGAGTGTGGCCACCTGTGCAGTCCCTTTAGGACTCACGAGTCTTCGCCACCAAGGCAGCAGGAGTAAGAGCCAGGCCACAAAGCCTAGTCAGATCCACCACCAATGGCACACTAACGTGCAGTGGCTTACTGGGGAGCCCCGATAGTTGGAAATGGCTCCCCCTTGTTCACATGGTGGCCATCCATGAAGCAGCACAAGTCCAATGAACACATGATCTCAGCGTAAATCTTTCTTACTGTGTCTCTCTCAATACACAGCCCAATTCAAGGTTCATGACATTTCTAATATCATGACTGCAACTAGAGAAAGTAGGTCAGGTTTCAGAAGCTGGTGAAACAGCCACCTTCAGAAACAAAAGCATCTCTTATTTTTGAAGTGTAAATTTCCCTCCACTACCCTTCCTTCACAAAGCATATTCATTTGCTAACACATGCAAGAAAATTCTGTGCATCTTTCCTACAGATTAAGAAGAAAGAGAGGAAGAATATAGATGCTATTTCCTTTTCAGATGCCGAAAAATATTTAGATACTGCTTTTGTACTGATTGTTTCGGAAAATCACTAAGAGACAGAAATGTCTGGCGATTTATGAGACAGGAAGTTTTTTATACAATAAAATTGATGTGATTTGGTTTGACAAGTGTTAATATTATACTAATAGGCTCAGTTGAAGTAGCTGAAATGGTAACAAAATTTTGTTCTTTTAAAGGCTGGAGGTGACTGAAGATACTGAAAGCACCCTGGCAGCAATGGATGATTCTTGTCTCAGCTATGGCCTGAGGGAAAGTATCGCTTCCTACCTCTCCTTAACAGGGGATGACAACACTTCTTTTGCAAGTGCCAGAAAGAAGAAAGCCCAATCTCTCATATACACAGGCAGTAAACGTAAGAGTACCCTTCACTTGCCACCTACATACTATGAAGACTAAATGTAAGACAACCGATGGGGGGGGAAAACAACTGAGGGTTTAGAAGAGAAACCCAGAGCATCCTGTGGTCCTGCAGTCCTTCGACAGCTGAGAGATGCCAGCTGATGATCAAATTCTGGCAATGCTTCTACATTTCTTCTGAATGTTAACCAGAGACCTTCTTAAGGCTACTATCTCAGCCACGGCATATGCTGGGAACGTCCCTGATGCACCTGAAATTAGAACCTGCTCATAAGCAGGATAAACTGATATAGACTCCAAGTCAAGAGCCAAGTGAGGCAGATGACTCTTCATCACGGGTGATGCCTACCATTCTACAAATGTGATTACATAGGGAAGGACTAACTACAGCTCAAGAACTTAATTTAAGTCGAACTCTGGTGTTCTCCCCAAGGCTGAAAACCATCTTTACAGAACCTACCTACACTGAGAAAAGGACCCTTTTTCTTCTCTAAATAGAATCATTCATTGTCATTGACAATGGGTGAGAAAGTCATCCATAACCCCAAGAAAGTGTCTGACATCCAGCATCCGAGAACCCCTGATTATATGGACTCCATACTTCTGTCATTTTTACCTTTTAGGGGAAAAAATTAAAATCATTGACTTTCCAAGCGGCAATTAATTAAACTGCTGGTAATGGCATGCAGTATCACAAAGTGGTCACAAAATTAAGAACAGGCTTAACTCATTGAGAAAAGTAATTCCTTCTTAGCCCTGACCTGGGAGTACAGGCACATCCAAAAGCATAACTCAGCTGCTCATAGTCTAGCAGTTATACAACAAAGAAAAAAGGGGGTTTTACGTGAAAAGTAAAATGTGGCAATACCATGCCTAATTGCAAAGGTGGGCTTGCAAAGGTCTGACCTTTTATTCAAAGGTGCGATCAGATTTTAACCTCATGTCTTGAAGGCATCCCCATATTTATGTATAATATTTATATTAATAGCAGGGGTTTTTTTTTAAATAATTAAACTAAGAGCAAATCAGCAACAATGGATGTTAAAGAGTTCTGAATTTCTTGTTTGAAGAGAGTTATGTCAAATAGTAATGACACATTTCATCAAACCACTTAAAGATTTGTAACTGGGTTATCTGAAATTTCACAAATTAAGGATTTTTCAATATATATGTACCTTTTGCTAAGTGAAGAGGCAGCTAGCATAGTCCTTTGAATGCGACTTGTGCTTGCTTTCTAAATAAAGTAGTCACATCTGGGGGTGTAAAATGCTGCAATCTATGTTCTGCAATCTAATATTCTGTCATCCCTTTTTGCACAGATTTGAGTAATGGAAGTTTGGAGAGATAGGGAATTGGGTGTGCGTGTATATATATATATGTATTTCCTCTGTAAATACCTCTTAGCACAAATTTGTGTGCTCTTTAGATCTTGTAACAGGTCATTTGCACTAGAAAGAGAGATTCAGAGATCAAAATAGTTCACAGCCGATTTAAACATATTCCAGAACTTGAAGCGTGAATGTAATTTGGCTGGTAAGCATTGAACATCACAAAGCAAAATGAACTCAGGAACTCTAGGCCTTTGTATAATCTCATTAGTGTTACTGATCATTAATATGTTATGGTGACTGCATTTTATCCAGTGAAATGTATATGGGGAGCATTACCGATTTCTAAGTCAAAGTCATGACTTGTATTTATTCATTAAAATAATATCCTGTAGTTACTTTGTATTGCTTTTAGAAAATGAAAAACCTAGTGTGCAACCGGTACAAACACTCAGTCTTGCAATGACACTGGTATCTTTGATGGAACACAGCAAAAGAATCCAAGAGCCCATGTAACTGGGCAGCACTTGGAACATGCTCTGTAGGAAGAGGGTAAGACGTTCTGATGACGACGGGTTCACACAATCACAGACCAGGTTGGAAGGGACTTCTGGAGGTCATCTGCTGCAACTTCCCCACTCAAGCAGAGCCACCTAGAGCTGGTTGCCCAGGACCATGTCAAGACAGCTTTTGAATATCTCAAAGAATGGATACTCCACAACTTCCCTGGGCAATCTGTGCCAGCACTTGGGCACCCTCATAGTAACAATGTGAGAAGGTGACAAAAACTTGTGAATAGTGCCATAAGGGATGGTTGGATTTCACAGATGATTATGGGGAAATTGTGTGAGGTCTGGCAATTTCTCACAAATAACTGAAAGACCTTTTGGGAAGCACAGTCTTGTGAGGGGAAACAGCACGAGGGTGATTCTCTACATATCTGAGATTACCTAAGAAACGATATCAGAAATACCCAATTTGAGTAGGGATGTAACAAAACTAGGACCAATGGCAAAAAAGTAATCAAAGGTGGTTGGTTTGTTTGAGAGGGAATGAGGCTGGTAAAGCAGAAACATAAAGGAGATGGGAAAAGGGAGAAGAAGGAGATCTATAGGTTAGCTGATCATAGGACCAGGAATACTTAGGGTCATGTCAAACAGCCCTGCATCTGACTGCAGCAGTTTTCAGTAGGGCAATAAATCTGCTCTTTCCCCATTGGCTGACCTACGTCCATGGCCAGGAGGGACCTACTGCCTTCCCTTGCATTGGGTGGAGGAAGCCTGGAAGCTCTCCTCCCAACACACACCAGGGAATGCCTGGAGGAGACACCTGAGGTATCTGCCCCCCACAGCCTCCTGCAAGAGATCAAGGCAGTCCGTACCATTGATCACTCTTCTAGATCAAAATTGCACAGGTAAATAAATCAATTAATAAAAAGATGAAGTCAAACACCACGCTAATGCTCTTAAATGATTTAAAACAAAACCATAATCATTGACACTACTTTTTTCTAATCGTACTACTGAAAGATGAAATAAGTTATAAGAAGTCCCCATGACAGCTTTGCATTGATTTTGTACAATCTTTTTTTAGACCTGTTCCTAACAAAATCTGTTATAGGGCAGACATAGGAAACTCAAAAGCATTTTTCTCTTTCAGGTGCATATCTTCTTATAAAGACAGCTTCATACATCACACCTCTCCACATGCTAAGAAACACTATCATTGTTTTAGACATGACAAAGACCCAAACAAAGAGCGCAAAACTAACTTCTGCAGAAAAGTTGTATTGCTTCATGGAATTTTCCCTCAGGGAAGCTATATCTGGTGTATATTCTCAGTTTCATGATTCTTAGTCTGTGTGCATCTCCTTTTTTTACAGTAAAATTAAAAGTACGCAATGGATTTGGTGTCTTGGAGCCAAAACAAGATACATGCCTTTGCAGGAGTTCTAGGTGAGAAATCTGAGTAAACCAACTGTTACATTCTGAATCACTTCATTGCAAAAAAAAAAAAAAAAAAAAAAAATCAAGTATATTTTTAAGCCACTGATATTACTGCGTACTACTGTGACACTGTCAGGATAAATACTTAACATTACTTCGAAATACATGGAGATCCTGCTTTTGCCAAGACAGTGGCCTGCACAGTCCCAGGAAGAAAATTGTTGTTACAGACACTAGATTAGTGGGAAGAATTGATGCGCCTGCCTTCTCATTGCACTGCCACTGTTTTCCATTATTCAATGTCCTGCTGTAGGAGAAAGGAGTTCAAAATTTAATTTAAAAAAGAAAAGACATAATGTGGAACTACACTCCAGAAATAACGATAATCAAAGAGGTCATTGCATTTCCCCTTCATCGGTTGCTCAACTGGTAAATTGCACTGTGTCCTGTTACAGCTTTCACAAGGCCCCATCCTGAGCCACATCAGTTAAGGGTTTGTGACTTCAGAGACAGAGTAGGATGAAACTTTACTCTGAGAGAAAAGGACTCTGGGTCTACTAGCAAACTATGCCAAGAGCCAAGTAAGTATCTAGGAACCATGTGAGGAGTTATCTGAGAATGACACAAAAAAACCAACTACTGAGCAGCAATTTTCAACAACTTCCCTTGCCTTCCCCACTAGAGTGATGTAATTAACGTAATCTTACTGAGACAGGGGGATGCAAAAGGCAAGTTATGTTTCCTGGAGCAAGGGTAAACTGAAGAAAAATCAAGTTGTGAATAGAGATGTCATTCTTTTCAAGGCAAGATTTTATTTAATTGGGACCTAGGTTTGCTGGGCTAAGAATTCTGTTCCTCTGCTCACTGTTCCAAGTGAACACAGCTGGCAGAGAGATCATTTTGTCCAAGTACCATTTCTTCTGTATTTATAAATGTCCACTGAAGATTAAGCCTCATTTCAGAGCACACTGCTTTCATCTGAGGCTGTAAAGATCAATGGTAGTATCGAAGCTGAAAAAGTTGACCTCAAAGTCCTGAGATTCGACACTGGAAGGGCTGTAAAAATACAGATCACTTGAGTGACTGGGAAAATGGTCCAAGTTGATGGCAAACAAGCCCGTGGGTAAACAGATTTTTGCTCTCTCCCTGAAACTTGCTTTTTCTTTTAAATGAAATCTGTCATGAGATCAGATAAAAAGATTGGATACTTCAAACATGCGGATGTTTGGCTCATCAGTTTTAGAGTGTAAAAACTGCTGATCAACAACCATATTTATGGAATGGAAACTAACTTTTTGTACCTGTAAGTTATGAAACAAGACTATTTATATAATACACAAAAAACCACAGTGACGAAAACCAGATTCTTACTATGACTAAATCAATCACCAAAGCACATTTCTTGTACATCTTTGTGAAGCACCCAGCTCCTGGAGATAGCAGTCACAGGTGAGACAAAAAATAACTACAGCAATAACAGCCCTTATAGTGCTGCCAAAGTATGGATAAAATAAAACCATCACCCACACACTGCAACATCCTCACGTCTGTAACAACATCCTTTCACAAAGAAGTCGAAGCGGCAGGAATTGGACTTACCATCAACACCACCCTCCTGAAGAGGTCCATACCCGCTGCCTCTGTAAGCAGGTGAATGCTGGTAACGTCTGCCCCACCACGGTCAGCTCCTAAAGAAACCCGGTTTGGATCTCCTCCAAAGCTAGCGATGTTCTGCTGCACCCACTTCAAAGCCGCCAGTTGATCCAAAAGGCCAGCG